CTCAGTAACGTTTGCTTCAAACGCCATCACGTTATCTATATATGCTCAGAATGCTTGTGAATTAGGGCAGTACAGAAGTAATACGCACAATATACACATATGCTAATAAGAGACTGATCAATTACAGTGCTAAACATCAATGGGAACATTCACGTAAACAATACAGAGTAAATTTACATTAAAATAGATTATAATTCAGATCTAATAAATCAAGCATTTTCAACATGTTTATTTATAATGAATGGATTTAAACGAACCATAACTAAAACAAAAAGCTATAAACTCTGCAGTTTAGATATCATATGAATATCCATTAATTTTAAGCATCATACATCTGTACAAATTAAAGTTTTGCATCGTAGTTTTAATTTAACTTCTTAAGTTACATTTCTTCAACCACGTAATATGCAAATATTATAAATAATATGTAATGATACACCTTAAATTATCATAACTATTCACTTGATCGGTTATTTCAGGAATAAGTATGCAGAAGTTGCGCTACCGTCCACCATTGTGATCAGTGAGTTACTATCCCACAACAGACCCTGCCGAACTCCACTAGACGCCGGCTCAGTGGTCTAGAGAATAAACCCTCACACGAAAATCTGGTTGGTCCTGAATTCCGATGGGTCGTGGATGTGCAATACTGAAATGTCTAACAATAGCACGGAACGGCCTTCCATTGTTTCCAGGTTTTCCATGATGGTCTAGCTTCAATTGACTCATGAATACATCTATAAAATTACTATAATATTCATAATACCGTTTTTTAAATATATAGAATTGGGGAATTTATATATATCACATTTTATCACTAAAAATACATAACTGTATATATGGGTATATAAAAGGGCGGCCTGCTTGAGCATCTGGGCTACCTGTTCCTGCCATCTAGATATTTCAACAAGTTATCTATTTTTGTTTGTTTTAATATATCATTATGTTTATTAATCGCATAACCTATTCTGCTGCGTTTCTGAAAAGTGTACAACCTTTCGTTGTCAAAGTTACAGAAAACTCAATAAGAGACAATATGGTTGCTGACAATGTACAACGAAAAGAATGTACATTATTCAGTTGTTCATTCACTGAAGTGCTAACATCTAACTGGCGATTCCTCAATATTTATCGCCAGGACCGACCAAGAAGAAAGAAACGGAAACTTGTTGAAATACTTTGCGCTGAGAATTCTATATTGTACCAAAATTATAATATTGAATAAAGCTAATAATAATAATAATAATAATAATTACGTAAGCACGATGTATGTTATGCAATCGGAGTATTTCTATATGAGTCCACCATCACACTGAAATTTAGAAGCAGAAATCTAAATAAAAATATTTTGTTTTTATTCAAGGATAATTGTAGGTTCACATATAACTAGTAACTAGGAATTAGTAGAAAGTTTTATAAATACTATAGAATCACAAATTGTTCTTAGGTAGATCACCATTGAAAACCAAGAAGAACTAGATTATTTGTCAATAACTGTTGTTCATCTAAATACTTTTTATTCATAAAATTATGGAAAATTGAAAAAGAATTATTAGGATTCATTGAAATACAATTGAAATGCAATGATTGGGTGAGCGGGTATTCTGAATTTATGTAGAATTTACTTTAAACACTTATTGTGTCGAGTGGAGACAGGTATCTACCTCAATACAATGGGAGATGGTCGCGTAATTTGGTGGACTGGTTGTGGTTGGACATTAAGACTTTTGAATACTGGCTCATTCATATAGAAGCTAAGTGTTCGTGCACGAGACCGATAGGTCCTGGGTTCGAATCCGGTAAGGCAAGATTGTGGATGCGCATTGCTAACGAGTCCTACATTAGGACGAAACAGCCGTCCAGTACATCTAGGTTTTTCAGTAAAGAACAATTTACTAAAGTAGATAATTTTGGTCCTAATTTCGTCTATCATAGTATTGTATATAAATAACATTTATTATTGTCGTCATAATGAACCAAAAAAAGTATACGTAGAAATTTTAATATCGTTTAATGAGAAACTTTATTTGTTTTCTAACCTCATTATATACCATTGATGGATGTGAAATAAAGAGATTTCAATAATGATAAATGGGTGAATTAAACAATAATTTTACAAAATTCATCATTCTCTCTTACTATATAAACATTTAAAAGTATAAATTTTTTTTAAAAATATTCCCTTTTATTATCTCTAATCTCTACTTTATCCAATATATTTAAGTGTAACTAAATAACCTATTAAATATAATTATTTCAGTACTGTATAGGGATTTATAAAGATTGTTGAATTCTATAGTTTACAGAATAAACTAAATGTATTTAATATCAGATGGGTTCTGTGGATATTATAGTAATTTGAATGGTTAAGATCATCAGTCAGTTGAAGCTAGACCACCATGGAAATCAGTAAGTCCTGGGTTCGAATCTCGCGGTGGGGGGCGAGATCGTGGATACGCACTGCTGAGGAGTCCCACAATAGGACGGAACAGCCGTTCAGTGCTTTTAGGTTTTCCATGGTGGTCTAGCTGCAATTGACTCATGATCTCAACAATTGAAATTACTATAATATCTACAATACCCATTCTGATGTTGGTTTGTTTTCGTTTTTATTTTTTTTCTTCTCAATACTTTATTTTTTCTCAGGTCAAAACAAAGTTTATATTAGTTGTTGCCATGACATTTTGGTAGAATTTACACTTTCATGACCTTCATAATTTATTTGTCAAGTGAAATCTCTCTTTCGATAAACTTACTATGCAATTGTATATATATTCTTTATTTCCATTAATAGGCTTTTTTATAAAACCGTGAAATCTGATAGATGGTTACTTATTCTATTAAACTATTGTTTCCGTAGTTTTATGAATACTTTACCGTTTTATAATACAATATATATGAAACTTGGTTTATTATTCAGTAAAGGTTTTCAGGGATTGATATTTATTGATTTAATCAAAATTAATAATCAATTTTATACTCTGTTCAAGTTAGGATAAACTCTATTCTCGTTCGCAATTTCGACCTTGCAACTGGCGACTAAGCAAAATGAAGCGGGGATTATTATTTACACTATCTTAGTCCATGATGGAGGGCACGAGAAATGTAAAGCTTTTTCGTGACGAAAATACCACTTCATCATGCTATGGACATATTAAGTGTAGAACAGTTAGTCATGACGGAAGAAAAATCATAACATAGGATATATCTTTAATTAATTCTATCATAGAAATTAAATCAAAATATCTACGACTGGGTGATTAAATAAACGAGAACATAACCTCAATCACTGAATGTTATACACTTAGATGACTTAATAAGGTGGAGCTTATCTCAGGTTCCTGTTCTCTAAATTTGGTTTCCTTTTCCTAAAGTATATTATATGCATATCAGTGGTTGACGTCGCCACATCACATTGGTGCGATAAAATAAATACTGAAGGAATTGAAATAATTTAAAACCAGTGATAATCAGAATAATTAGGAATTGATAATATTACTTATAAAGATAAAAAGCAAAGATATAAATGCAGGAATACTGGAGCTCTGGATCTAGAGGAAGATAAGCAATGAATATATCTACTCTACTGTGGTCGATTCTAAGCTATCTTACTCAACGCTTCAAACCACTGATGATATTTATTGCGTGAACCTTAAACCAGTAGTCCACATCTATCAAAATGGCATAAGATAATAGGCAATGACTTCATGAATTGATACCATGTTTTGATTCAACCGACTATCTCCTTCGACCAACCTGCTTTAGTTTACATCACCCGTCGAGATTTTAAACGTGGTGTGATGTATAAATCTGAAATATTTCTTTCATAGTATGTTTAAATTATGTTATGTAAAGCTAGATTTGAATAGGTATTTAAGTCTTAGTTACGAAACTCAAGTGACCATAGATTTTCCTAAGAAATAAACAATCAGAATCAAGTCACCTTTTGGGTTGGTAACTAAAAATCAAATTATTTAGAGAACATATATATAATCAGAACAAATCAATGTATAGCAATATAGATGTGTTTATATCAGTAGAAAAGTTGTCAAAGGTTTATTTGAAAGGTAATTAATGACTAAACAATAGAATATACATCGTTTGATGACCCTGATTCATGAATTGTAAATGAATATAAATGTAGAGGATGAATTTTCTCTTTATATCTATTAGACACCAGTCATTTTCGCGTTACAAATTATACTAGCTCACCTTCATTTACTGAGGTATCAATGGTCAGTCCTACTTCATAAAATTTTAGTTTAAGCCCGGCTGACTCAGTCGGTAGAGCATGAAACTTAATCTCAGGGTCGTGGGTTCGAGCCCCACGTCGGGCGTCGTCTGGTGAGGCAGTTCGCCGTGTCTGCTGGTCTCCGACTTCTGTCTCACACACTAAATCATATTCAGCATCTGAATACGATTGGGTTATTATTATTATTTGGTGCATAGTCATTTACTGATCATGTTTATGTTCAACAGGTTGAATTATTTCTGTAAAGAAGCTCCTGTCGGATTGCAAAACATATTGTCATACATATTAATGGAAATAAGAACGACTTTCAATTTTTTTCTTATGATTGTACTTCCAAAGAACATGAAATCTTACATATAACTGTAGGTAGTTCTATAAAGTTCCTTTTGAATTCTAATTTATTCATGAGTTCAAACTAGAACGAAATATGAATACTGGATTTCATTTCACTTCCATTTGAAGTTTATGCTGATGATATCATTCGAAAGAACAATGAAGGCTTCATGATCAAACTATTCAACTTAGAGAATAAAATTCCTAACTGAAATCCATCTTTTCTAGAAAATTATTAATTTTCTGATTTAAACAAATCATAATGATAAAAAGGTGTGATTGGTTTATTTTTGTTTACTGAATAAATTTCGACATCCTTGCTGGTTAACTTCATCAACTTAACACATTTAATCAGTAGTTATGTAAGTATATACCGAAAGAATAATAATAATAATAATGATAATCGTAAACATACTTGGACATATAAAGGTTCAATGCCATATGTTTCAAATTTTGCAGCATTTTCAAGAAATTTATTCTCAGCATCACTCATTGACATACCTCTGAAAAAGGGAATTACAGTTAGAATAAATTTAATATTTGTAAATGTCGTAATGATAGAAATTTATAGTAATCAAAACTATACAGTATTTTAAATGATGATTGACCAGTCCCATGTTTAATTGACTGAAACAAACAGCTTAATCATTGATATTATTAAACAATGATATATATACTTATATCCACACAAGTAATATATAACGGTGGTCAGGCATAGAATGTATTTTAGTAGAAGGTCGATGAGGAAAGAACAGGAACGTAACGCAATTGGTAGGAAAATGGATAAACAATGAAATCTGAGACAATAGATTGAGGTTCGCAACAGGAACAGTCAAGTTTGAGATGATGGATTAATATTTTGCAAATTAATGATTAAGGATTTTAGTGAAATACTCTGTAATTTTGTGCTCAAGTACATTCGATTGTCCCCACTGGTGTTCTTGTCCACTATAAGGGTACGTCATGGTTATTACTTGTTTCCCATGAATATTGGTACTTTTTCTTCACATTGATATAAAAAAATAATTTGTATACTATTTTAAAATTGTAATCTAAGATAGGTGGTGATTAAGAATGGAATCCAGGACGCGTATTTCGTCCTTTTTGGGACTCATCAGTTGGATGTACCTGTATCTTAGAGTTGTTGTTCATTTAGGTACTCGAACCCAGTACCGTTTCCCTCAAATGCTATCGCGTTATCCACTCAGCTGCTGAGCCTTAATAGCAACTTGCGTGTCTCAAATAAGACAAAACTCGCTTCCACTATTAATCACTATTCATCTCTGCTCATAAAGCTTGTGACTTAAGGCAATTTCGAAGCAGTCCTCAAAGGATGCACATATGCCAATAAGAGACTGATCCATTTCAGTCCTAAACAACAATCGGAATATTCAAGTAAAACAATACCAAGTGAATTATTTTAGAATTGGTTTTAATGCACCTTGAAAACAATGTAGATTATACCTTTTTTATCAAAATTTTCAAAGTTCCACTTACTTGAATGATTTATAAATCTCTACAATTTTTGATTCTGTTTTTGGTGTAATATTAGCAAACATTTTAAGATCAGCTAATGAACCTTCAGGTCCTAAATAATCTAACAAGATATCGTAGTCTCCAATTTCAGCTAAAAAAAGACGTTTTTTAACAAAATATATATTTTTTTTTATAGAAAAAGGTATTAAATAAAACTATTATTATTATTATTATTTACCATGAACTCAATATAGCTGAAAGGATCTTACTAATTAAGTCAGCAGTATGAATCTCAACAGTCTTTTTTATGGTATATGAGTGATTGAACACAACAGTTCATGCTTGAATAGAGCTCCTTATCCTTAGCAAAATATTTATATATAAATATATACGCAATGCATAGAAATATTCTATCTGTCTTTCCTTCTCCATCTCTCTCTCTCTCTCTCTCTCTCTCTATATATATATATATATATATATATATCTTTCTAGATTCCATATACAAATAATTGGTAAAAATTGGCTGTTTTGTGAGTAAAGAATCACACAGATCATTTGTCTTCCCATAATTATAAAACGTCACTTAGAATTCACGTATATTACTACTATAGATGTTTGTGTAGATTATGAAATTTTCATAGTCTGCATTATAAGTTGATCTTTATTAGATAATCATTGGAAAGCAGGAAGAAATGGACAGCTCACTAGTAATTAAGATCAGTTTGTAATTTTCAATCAAAGTAAGAAACCTTGACCAATGGAGTTCAATCATATCAGATGTGAGGTAGTTACACACCAATGTCATCAAAAGATAATCATGTAAATAGCCTTTATTGATTTAAGTTTAAAATTGGGTCCTGACATTGTGATCTAATAGCTTAGCACTTATCAAGAGACATTGAGTTTCTAGTCTCAATCTCCTGAGTGGTTATGCATCTCCACTGACACTGAAGAATCCTAAAATGCAACTAAACAATTATCCACTGTTTACTGACTTTCAATAGATATCTATCTATGGTCAGTATGAGAATTTTTAAAGATAAAACAAGAAAACATTAAGAAAGTAAAAACAAGCAAACAAGTGTACATCAATAACATAACAATTACTCTAATATTAACTAACCTTGTAGTATACATGCTGCTAGTACATGCATTTCTAAATTTCTTCCAATCAATCTACCACTATGAAGATCCCGTCTTAATTGAAGATAGAGCAAGTATCTTATTGTATTTTCAATAAAAAAAAACATTATTGATTATCAAACAAAAATAAACAACAATATACATTCAAGTGTAAATGTTTTAAAAAAGATTGTTACATCACATTTTCTTTTCTGTGATATTTTTGTTTTTGGATAAGTTCTGTCAGTTGAATGCTTGGTCAAATTTTCTAGCCATTTCTAATAATCTCAAACTAAATCTAGGTTTGACCACCATCAAAAACATGAAAGTACTAGACGGCCGTTCTGTCCTAGTAATGCACATCTACGATCTCACTTGCTGGACTCGAACCTAGAATGTTTGATCTCACACTCAAACGGTTAACCTATAGACCGTTGAGCCGGCATCCAATGGTGTTAATATCTTACGTCAACCAATCCATTTTATCGTGCGACCATCCACCATTGTCTGAGATGGATAAATGTTTCATATCCGACATAGATTGGACTTCATTGATCGTTGTATAAACTAGATTGAATTGTAATTAATAATAAGAATCTAACAATTTACCATATTATACAAATAAACGACGGTGATCAATAATTCTTTAATGGAAACATCAGAAAAATATGTATTCAGTTACTTTAGTATGATATTATCTAATATTGAGCACAAATATTATTATTTGGGCCTAAATTTTGTAATGCGTCAACGAATAGTAATGAACCTAACATCTCTAATCCTTCTTAAGATGTAAACAGACGTTCGGAAAAAAGAGTTAGTTTCATATATCATTCTCAACCCAATTAATTAGGTTATTATTTATCATATCAATTTTATTCTACCAAGTGAATCAAACTTCACCCCATTGCACAAGCAATTAGCTATCAGAACTCAGTAGCTGAGTGGATGACGTGATGGTGTTTGAAGCGAATAGTACTGGGTTTAAGTCCTAGAGTGAACATCAACTTTAGGATGCAGGTACATCCAGCTGACGAGTCCCAAATAGGACGAAACGCGCATCCTCGATTCCACTGATAGACACTATCCACCTTTGCTTATAATGCTTGTAAATTAAGGCAATATCGAGGCAATACGCACAGTATGCACATATGTCAATAACAGACTGATCCATTTTAGTCCTAAACCTCAATGGGAAGATTCAAGTAAAACAATACCATATGATTTAGATAGTTTAACTAAGAAGCTTTCATTTTTATCATACGAATACTAATAAAATAAATCATATAACTTAAGGATGTACAGAACCTATACTTGTACAGTCTAAATTTATGCATCAGTCTACGTACTGTAATCATTCTAAATGTTTTTATTCTAAAACTGATCAACTGGTATTTCAAAAATCACTATATATTTTCAGTACGGTGATGTGGAGATTAGTAAATTTCATTAAAATCAAGAAGTGATCTAAGTTAAACAACCATTTCAAACCCAGAAGCACCAAAGCTCCACTTTGCCTGAGTACGATCGTGCAACTACCCTGGATTAATTGAGGTTAGATATTAACGCCATTGAATAGCGACTCAGTGGTCTAGAGGTTAAGTGTTTGAGCTTGCTACTAAAGGTCTTTGTTTTGATCGCCTATAGTGAGGTTGTGGATGAGCATTGCCAAGGAGTTTCATACTAGGACTAAACAGTTGTCGATGGTAGTCAAACATAGATTGGTCCATGACTTCAATAATAACCATTATATAAATGTTGCAAATTCGGTGTTGAATTATGTGAGTCTCTAAGATGATTGAAAATATCTGTAGCTGAGGATGAGGATGTTTGAGTTGTTATGATGTATTTACATCTGATTGATCATTGAGTAGTGGCCGATGTCATGTATGTCAGGCCCTTCGCAGTAAAGATTGAATCCTATTGAACAAGTTTCTATGTGGCGACTTGTGGAAGTTACTCGACATCGCAGGCACTATGTTGAGATGTAAGGTGGTGATTTAGTGGTAGTCTGCAGGAAACTCTGGACCTAGCTTCTTGCTACTTGGCACTCGTGGGCAAGGTTTACTTGCGATATCGGGGAACCTCATGCTCTCGGATGGATTCAATCTCAACTCACCTAGCTTCACAGTCAGGCTCAGTTTCTTTGAGTGAGCAATTTTAAATGAAGATTCTGATAGAACGATATAAGTGAAATCAACCAAATCTTTAAAAATTAAACGGTTTACCAAGTTTTCTTGGCCTTAAGACAACTATGTTATGTAGTTTTGAGATATGGGTTTGGAAAGTGATTATTTTGTGAGCTCAATATAACAGGCTCCGTATGAGTGAGTAAACTGGTTTAGGATTATTGTCGATCGATCCTAAAAGAAAGCCATTTTCCATAAGCAATTGTCTGAATTCATTTAACACTTCACTGATTAAATCTTCCGCGCAGATTTATCTAGGATGTACCAGGTTTCTCTAGTTGAACTAAGGAAATCTACCTTGAAAGTTTGCATATTGCCAGTTCTAGGTTGGCCTTTGAGTATCAAGTAAAAATCAATATTTGTATTCAGTGAAATCATAATTATCGCATTTTTTTTCAGATTCAAAGAGTAATGTGGTAACAAACTGATTTGAACTGATACAAATCAGATTGACATAAGATTCATTACAACACACTGTAGTAAGCAACGATTAAGAAAGCATAAGATATCTTATAGTTATGTCACTTAGTGTAAATTTGCAACGTTATCAATTAATCTATCAATTCTATATAACATTCTGTTTTAATGTGTCTATATTGAACTACTAGTCATTGTAAACAAATTAATTATATTACTCGACTGTGAATTGAATTACATGAGTTAAAATCACTTACCGACTCTTTTCTTGACGAAATTCATTAACTGGATCACTTGGATAATGTTTAACACGAAAATTCAATGATCTTGGACTAACATCTGAAAAAGATTTAGCCATTTATTACGTTAAAGCATTATACGTCAAACTGTCTATAATATATAGACATAGTTTTTAATTAGAAAATCATTGGAAATTAAGGACCATTAGATAGTTATCATTTTGTCTTAGTACCAGACTACTCATTGGCAATTCATATGCACGACTCCAATAAAAATCAGACAAATGGCGGGCTCGTGGATGTGCACTGCTGAGAAGTCCCATATTAGGACGAAATGGCCGTCCAGTGCCTCCAGGTTTTCCATGGTGGTCTAACTTCAATTGACTCATGATTTCAACTATTGAAATTATTGTTTTATCCTAAATGTTTACCCTTCAGACCACTAGATTGATACCAATACCTTAACTAGTCTAACTTTACACGATTGGCAATATTTTACTACAATCTTCTTGTATAATTCAAAGATAACTATCACACATCTAACTTGATATTAAACTAAATGAATCACCAGAAATCATTCTTGTCTTTTAAAAATGATGCAACGTACCAGAACTTTATTCTTAATAAGTTTATAATCGAGTTTTCAGTTGATTAAGCCTCATATAACTGTCATTTTCATCTTGCATTATAACACTTTCAGATATTATTTGGGATTTTAAATGAAGCCTAACAGTACCTAGATTTCACAATTGATTGATCACTTGATGGTGATCAATGTCATGTGTGTTAAGTCCTTCTTAGTGCAGATCGAATGCTATCGATCACGTTGCAATATGGCTAATAAAGAAAGAATGTTTCAGTGAAGACATTTTCAAAGCTGTGCAATCACAAACACATATACCTATTCTTTCAGGATCATAATAATTACAATAATAATAAATTTCTCAACAGTCCACATCCACGATTCTCCTCGCGAGACTCGAACCAAGGACCTACCAGTCTCAGGCACGAACGCCTAATCTCCAGACCACTGAGCAGGTATTCGATGGTTTTAATGTCTAACTTCAACCGATCAATTATCTTGCGCAACCATTTGTTCGCTGTCTCTACCAGACACAGGTAGAGACAGGTATCTACTACAATCTCCACAAGCCACCATTCTAATTTATATATATTTATATATATATCATCCTTCCTTGGTCCTAATTCCCCTCAGTAATACGTTTCAGTCCTGTTTTTTAAGTTACTGTTTTGTAATTTTCAACCTAAGTCAGTTATTCTTATGACCTTTATGTTTTTAATTTTTCTTCATATCTGTCGAGCGGACACTTATCTTTCATATTTATGACTCGTTAATTATCTTCATCCTTCTATTCTTCTCTAACCATTTGATTATTATCCAACCTCATTTGATATTTGAAATCATGAATCACTTTGTTATGCAATCTTTTCTCTCTCTGTCTATAAACTTATACATTTACCAAACAACTATAAATATTTATTAATTTATTTCATGAATCAACTGAAGCTACACCATCATGGAAAACCTTCAAGCACTTGATATGATCAGTGAAGTTCAACCGTGTCTGTTGTGAGATCATAACTCACTGAAGAAAACGATGGACGGTGACGCGAGTTCATGGATTGGTTGAAGTTAGACATTAACACCATTGGATGCCGTCCCATTGGTCTGGAGGTTAGGCATCCGTACGCGAGACCGATAGGTCCTGGGTTCAAATCCCACGTGCGGAATGGTAGATGTGCACTGTTGAAGAGTCCCATACTAGGACGAACTAACCGTCCATTACTTCCAGGCCTTCAATGGTGATCGAGCTTACATGGATTCATTAATTCAAATCACAAACATTTCTGTTAGTTTTTGACACGAATTAATTTTCTAATTTGATAAACTTAGTTACTTGATTTAAGTGAGATTTAAAAAACTTATATGTTATTAATGAGAATTGAATATTTACTGAAACAACAATTATACTACTGAATTTAATTAGTACTGAAAATAACCTTACAATTTCAATGGCTATTATTGTTGAATGATTGTATAATCCAGTTAAAATGATGAAACATAAATGTTCTTTCTGTATAATTTATGAATTGTATAAGATTTATGATTTGTTTTCTACTATTTTTGCGTAAGAAGATAGCAGATCCTGGGTTTTAGTGCAAAACTCATTCATCCATTTAGCTAAATAGAGTTTTGGCATTTTAGCATATGTCAGTTCGTAATGAAAACTTACTAACCTACTTCTGTTACCCCTCGTGGTGGAGCATAGACGGCCCACCAGCACTTTCCATCCAATCCTGACCTGATCAATACTTTCCAGCTCTTTACAGTGGTTATTCATCCTTTTCATTTCGGCTTCTATTTCCCTACGTAATGTGTACTTCGGCCTTCCTCTTTTCCGTTTCCCTTCAGGATTTCAAGTTGGGGCTTGCCTCGTGATGCAGTTTGGTGATTTTCGTAATGTATTTCTTATCCATTTTCATCATTTTTTCCTAAGTTCCTCTTCAACTGGAACTTGCTTTATTCTCTCCCACAGAAAGCTGTTGGTAATGGTTTCCGATCAACGGACATTGAATATCTTGCTTAGACAATTGTTTATAAATATTTGTACCTTCTTGATGATGATTGTAGTAGTTCTCTAAGTTTCAGCTCCGTTCAGTAGGATTGTTTTGACGTTGGTATTGAAAATTCAGACTTTGATATTGATTGACTGTTGTTTTGAGTTCCATAAGTTCTTCGATTGTAGGAATGCGGCCCTTGCTTTGCCAATCCCCACCTTTACGTCTTCTAATCTAATTCCTAGTCCTAACCATCAACAGTAAATCATTATTCTTATTCCTCACACTGGTTTATAATCCTCACTTAATTCTTGTTAGTAGCTAGGCATACTCAAGATCACACTGATGTCACTCAAAAGTTGTCCATAAATTATAGTCTCACCAAAATCACTATACTTAACCGACTAATCTATGAACTAGATTCATTCTCTACAAACTTACTCATAATTTACTTGCTTTAACGTACATTATGTTTTGAATGACGTTCTAAGTATTAAGAAGTCACAGTCTTGATTGAATAGATACATTTCGGTAAATATACAAATTATTAATATGATAAATGTTACTTACATTTTAATTGTTTATAAACAGTTTTAGACATTTCTAGCCATTGCTGTAAAATAAAGAAATAAACCAAAATAAAAGCTCAATAACAATCAACACATTCACGATTATGTTAAATACTACTTATTGTTAAAGTTTTAGAATATTATAAGTAGTATTCCAGTGTATTGCTATTATTAATAATATCTTAGGCTAAACTCCGCCTGGAGTCCCTCAAGGGGCTACTGCCGGTCCCAAGCCCGGATAAAGTAGGAGGGTTGGGCATGGGGTTAGCGACCCCATCCCGTAGGAAACTAACTCGCTAAAAAACTCTAAGCAGAAAAAAATTATTCAAACCTAAAGTTATGAATTTGTTTAGTTGTCCTTCAACCAATAGGAATAGTTAAAATACTCAATCGGGTCTTTTTCTAATTGCTAACTTCAACTGAAGACCTTCTAGGGTTAGGGGTAGTCTCAAGCCCGAGTAAAAAAAGGAAGGTTGATCAAGGTGTTAGCAACCTCATCCTTTAATATGAACTTTAAAAAATGTGCCAACCGTAAAAAAAGTAATTTATAATTGCTTTATTTATATGTCTACCAGTGGAGAAAAATTACTCATTCCCTAAATTGGTGTTAAAGATGTACACATGTTATTTCCTCTTCGAATTTCTTTTCCAATCATAAAACAATAGTCGATTGTTAACAGTCTTACCCTTGACCCATCGAAACGTTAAAAGTGTTATCTTTAGCCTGAGACATGTCAAACAATGAAACACCCTACTAGAATCAAATGAAATCTGTTTTATTAGAGATGTTATTTATCCTGGTACATGCTTCTCTTATGATCTCTCTCAGTCTTCCCATCTTTTGTCGATACTAAAGGTCATTCATCGTCTAACTTATTATGTAAAGAGGTCATGTGTTTCTAGCATTACACAAAATTCGGTTATACGAAATGTTAATTATTGTATTTTACCTAATATTCTATACTGATAGCCATTGGTTTTTCTGAACTTCTGAAAAACAATTACACTGTGTTGTGTAGAATCTTGAATTCAGTTACTAAGATATGGGATGAATCTTTTAATTCATAAGTATCATTTTTACCAAATATAAACTAATCACATCAATCACATATCATGATATATCATCTAGAAGAATGAATTGCAGATATATAGAAGCTACATATACGTGAGCACAAACCAGATAAATGAGTAAGATAGAAAGTTAAACTACAGCTTTGTTGATTAAAACTGAAATAAGAATATATGCACACTTATACACAAATAACCACTTTTATCTCTAAGAAAATAAAGTCACATTTTCCATCAATAGCATGTTTTCCTTTTAAAATAAGGAAGCTAAATCTCTACTAACAGAGTACATTTATCTTGTAACCTTTGTCTTATTGGCTCAACTTATCAACAATTATCTTCCAAAGTTTTTTACAACTAATACTGCTCTATCATAAACAATGTATTTGACTTATTCATATTTTGTATATTATATATGTTTAAAGAAAAAAAACAAACATGTAAACATATGAAAACTGAATGTATTCACTAATTATCTTACTCGTTGTTTAGAACGATCTAGATAACGTAGACCAAAATAATCTTTTTCAATAATTCCACCTATTCGTTCTATAACTTGATTGAATAATACACGACCAAGACAATCATTCTATTTGATCAAAATACAAAATAGAATTCAAGAAAATCAATAGTTATTTTGGTAAAATTTGTCTATATGTATATGTGCGTTGTGTGCTACTTATATTGACATAAGTAGTATATGATGTTAGTCGTGAACAGAAGGTCTGGCAGCAGAGAAACAAGAGGATCGAACAGTAGAGAATCGAAACAGAATGCAATTTGTATGAAAATGCAAGAACAATAAAGTTTGAGTCACTATGAGACAATTGATGGACATTTTGCAAATTACATATTTACTATTTGATTGTTAGATTTTATTAGCAAGTCCTGTAATTTTATGTCAAGTACATTCGTTTGTCCCCACAGGTGTTCCTGCTCACTACATATGTATATACTTCATTATAGACTAGGAATGGAGTATGGTACAAATTCTTTGAAACACAATAGCTAATTGGTTACCAATTGTAACTATTGAAACGTGTATAGAATCTACTTTATGTTAAGATATTTGAATAAACTTTATCTTGAACAATTATTTTATTTCAACGGTTGAGATCATGAGTCGAATGAAGCTAGACCACTACGAAAAACTTGGAAACACTGAACGGCCGTCTCGTCCTATTGTGCGACTCTTTTGTGGTGCGCATCCGCGATCCCGCCTTGCGAGATTCAAACCCAGGGCCTTCAGTCTCGCGCGCGAACGATTTACCCACTGAACCACTGAGTCGGCATTGAATGGTGTTAGTGTCTAACATCAACCAATCCATGAAATTGCGCATTCATCTTCCATTGTACTGAGGTAGATAACTGTCTCTACCCGACATGGATTAGCTCCACTGGTCACGGTTTCTCACCAGAAATCCGAGAATTACCACACGAAGCTAGTGACTAGTGAGCACGCGGAAATTATCAGTATAAACGTCTCCCACTGTACTGGGGTAGATAAATAATTTTCACAGATTAAATCACGAAATGATCTTAGCTAGACCCCCATTAAAAACCTGAAAGCCTTGGACGAACATTTCGTCTTAGTGTATGAATCTTCAGCGATGCGGATACACAACCTGGCAACCAAGAGTCGAATAAATAATTCTTCACATAAAGTCGTTCCTTCATTCTTATATAGGTTCGTATCAGTTTTGTTCCGCTGTAATAAGTAGTAATTTTGCCACAGTCATAACAAATGTCATGCAGAAATGTTTTACTGCAGTAGATTATCACTACAAAATATTGTGTAGGCACTTTGTTCAGGGTATGATCACGAAAAGAAACTAAATAAGAGATTCGTGAAGATGAAAAGTACCCAGCTGAAATAAATAAAAACCAGTATGCTAACGACTGACTATCAGTGAAACAATTCTCAAGGACGAATGCATGCCAACTGTAACTGATTAAAATCTAGTAAAAACATCAACAATGGGATAATGCAAGATATAACGAATTGAACAAAGATTCATGTGTTATATAAGTGGCTATCTGAATACAATACCCAAGTGGATTTTGTGTTGGACTTCAGGGTGAAAGATATTGAGTTCGAATCCCAGAATAAACATCAACCGTAGGACACAGGTACATCTAGCTAACCAACCCAAAACAAGGTAAAATTTCTACATATCAAAATCTTTCGCAACATTTATGTAAATTTAACACCACTACATTACTGATATTTCACTTTAAACAAAAGATGACTACAATGCTTTAAAAAGTCACTATAAATTATCTCAACAAATTCATAAATTATCATTAGGCAGTATTGAGTACAGTAGGTGATATATTTTACAGATTTTCTCAAAATATATTCAGGATTACATGAAATTAATGAAGATTCTACCACAAACAGTAACACCTTATTACCAACTATCAATTATTTTGCGAGTAGTCGTACTGTGATTTGTGCTACCGATATCGACAGATATGAGTAGTATGTTTCACTAATCGAAAGTGGAATACCTGGTGGCAGAAGGTTATGAAAATAGAAGGCAAGAGAATGAGAACAGGGAAAGATTGGTATTAAAACGAAAGAACAAAGAAATTTGAGGCAATTGATGGATGTTTTGCAAATAAAGTATTCACTATATGGTTCTCAGATTTTACTAAGAGATTCAGTAATTTGGTATGCAAATACATTTGGTCGTCCCCATCTGAGTTCTCGTTCACTACAGTAGTAGTAGTAGTGTTACTATTATTAATCTTATAATTATTAGTCCAATTACTTGCGTCATACAGGTTATCATTTTAATTTGGTTTTAAAACATGATAGAACTACCAAGTTATGACAATTTACAGTCGGGCATGAAACATTAGAACAATGAGATGAAAAGCAGAGCAGTAGAAACAATAATGTTGGCAATGATAGTAAGGAATACTAAGCGTTGAGAATATGGTTAAAAAAGGCAAAATGAAAAAGAAACGTTTGAAAGAATACTGGGGCTCAAAACCCATAAGGAGATAAATAGTGATAAATGTACGGGATTCATCGTGACTGATCCTGATCCATGTCAACCAGTTATATCGTCTAAATTAATCAATTAATGAAATTAATTATAGAAACATATTCTTATATCTTTCACTATGAAATAATCACTTATAAATTCTATCAAATCTCTTTCATTAACAATTATTTAGATTTTAACTAAGGTCATGAACCAATAAACGTTAGATCATTATTTAAAACATAAAAGCACCGGACGGTCGTTCCTCCTAGTACGGGACTCCTCAGCAGTTATTTGTATAACAGTCAATTAATAACAACTATTGACCATGTGCCCTCTAGTGACTGGCTTCAAGAAGAATTTCCTGGAGTTCAGTTGAGAAGCCGTGACCAGTGTAGTTCAACTATGTCTGTTGTGAAGCAGTTACTTACTGAAGACAACGGTGGATGGTAGAGCAGTATCGTGGATGGGTTGAAGCTAAGCATTAACATTGCTAGATGCCGGTTCAGTGGTCCAGAGTTTAAATGTTCGTACTCGAAACCGAAGGTCCTGGGTTCTAGCCCCACGTGTGGGATCGTGAATGTGCACTGTTGTAGAGTCTCATATTAGGACGAAACGGCCGTCCAGTTCGTTCGAGTTTTCAATGATGATCTAATGTCCTGTGATTCCAGATTTCCAATGATGGTCTAACATTCATCCATTCATGATATCAATTTAAACTCAACAATCTTCACAACCTTATATTGATAGCTAATATTTTACACATTCAATATTGTTTAAAGTTTATAAAATCGATTTTTGGAAGAATGAACAGTTTGAGTTGATATATCCTCTTATTGATAGCGTGAACATACAGAGTACTATTACTATTACCATTGTAACTAAATAATAGGAAAATGTATATTACTGAAAATGTTAAAACTTTTCTATTAACCAATAGAATTAATTTCATGGTTTAATCGATTATTAATAAGGGAATAATTACCAAGACATTCAATAATGTAAGAAAACTCCCTATTTTTTACTAAAGTATTATAGAACAATCAATATGTATATTTCCTGATATAGGAAAACGTTTTAAAACACAAAAATGAGGATACACAAAATACAAATACTAAGTTGATGTATACATATATTGACTCACATTATTTATATATTAATTATTTACTCAGTATTAATTAGATTAACTGTATGATGTAATTGTACTTAGATGTTAAATATTAGAACAACAGACTTTGTAGACACGATGACTAGAAACACAACGTATTGAATATATATAATTTAATTTCAATGGTTGAGATCATGAGTCAATTGAAGCTAGACCACTATGAAAAACTTGGAAACACTGAACGGCCATTTCGTCCTATTGTGGGACTCCTCTGTGGCAGTGCGCATCCACGACCTCACCTCGAGAGATTCGAATCCAACACCTATCAGTCTTCATGGTGCTCTAACTTCAATTGACTCATGATCTCAACCGTTGAAACCACTATAATATCTATAAAACCCATTCTGATATATAATTTAATTAATATAAATTTGTATAGATCAGATATCAAATATATTTATGATTCCTGTAGTTAAACCATTAAATTAGTGTATGGAATCATTATATAGTTATTTGATCACAGTCTGAGAATGATTAATATGTTTAAACTTGAATTTTATTATTCTAACTTTTGTAAGTCAACACCTAAGACTGATTAAATTTGAGAAGATGGAGGAGATTTGTAGCTCAGGTGAATGATTTAGGTGGAGTTTTGTTGTCTGAGCTCATATCGATGCTTGTGGACAAATGGAAAAAGGTTTAAGATTTTAAATAACAGGAATACTAAAAGCACGAGGGAATTTGTAGAAGCTTGGCACTCAGGTTAATCAGCGATCAACAAACACATTGAAATCGATCCAATCTATCAACTAATCAGAAAAATCTTGGACAAACACTGGAACAAGAATCAAATCAGTAGGATATACAATCAAAATAAGAATGTAGACAATTACAGGTTAAATGTCAACAATAACAAATCAAGATCGAGGTCGATAGAACAAGCTGCGAGTCATATGTGCAGAAATTCGAACACTACACATTTATCTGAAGTTTGAACTGATGATGATGTTCAGAAGAACGATGACATGATAAAACCATCCAGCACAAAGAACCAAACTCCACCTACAAATGATTGAATTTCAGTCAAAAATGTCAACAACGAGACAATTCCAATTATTATCAAGTAAACTAACATTCATACCCATTGCATAGGTAATTGATTATCTGAACTCAGCAGTTAAATTAATAACGCATTTAGGTGAGAGTGAACAGACCCATGGAATCAAATTTATACAAAGATATTCGTTAATATTTTTACAAATAGTCTAACATAATTTGGGCGCCCAGTATATAAAAAGCATTGTTTGTACAAAATTATATTAGAAATAATCATCGCGATTGAAATTTAGATAATTCCGTTTCATTCAGCAGACTTGTTTCGAGTCGTTCAAGAATATCATCAAGATCAAAATTATCAAGAAGTATATAATATTTAACTCCGCCTGTAACTCTTCTAGAATTACTGCCGGTCCCTAGCCCGGATAAAGGAGGAGGGTTGGGTATGGGATTACCGACTCCATCTTGTAGAAACCTAATTCGCTAAAAAAAACGCTAGCCAGATAAAGTAATTCAAACCATTTAAATCTGTCTGAGAGTTAGATCTTCATTTTAAAAATTTATGAGGCCTCATAGTGAAAGCCGAGTTCTTTCGGAAGTCATGAGGCCGATGCCCCTTTTAACAACTAGAGCAACATTTTTTTATATAATGTTTAACAATCAAATTAAGTTTGCACTAAATGCTTATTCAATTAAATCCGTAGATTAGCGTTAGTAGATTTAATGTGATTGTCAAATGTTATATATTTTTTGATAATTTCGGTTTTGATTATAATCCTGAAGAAATCAAGACAAAGTTGCTGGACGAAACGGTGGAATCATTTAAGTTTCAATAACTGCGATTATTTTACAAAAGTAATTCTACACAAACAATGAAATTAAAAGTACCAATTCTTGAATTTTGACGCCAAATTCATTCATCTATATGGCCAAATAGCATTTTAGCATTTCAGCTAATATCAGTTCATGATGAGAAATCTATATTTGATTCCTAACATCACCCTATAACTCTCAGTCTTATTCGTAATTCGTTACACTTATTAAAAACCCTCATTCAACCCTAATAAGTAGATGAAGCTCTTTAAGGTCACTTCAGCATCACTCTAAAGTCGTCCATGTATTGTAATCTCGCCCGCATTATAGGTTAATACAAAAGGTTCTGAAATCGAGTACCGTGGCGGCGGGGGATAATAGCTGTGCTATTAACGTACATCTAACTGACCATTTCGATGTAAGACGAAACATGTATTCTAAATTCTAGTGTTGGTAATGAATAATGTTTTATCAGTCTAGTCTAATAATGATGGTTGAATTCTGCAGACTAAGTTCCAGTGTAGCATTAATCTGAATGATTCAGCATCATATAGACTATGTTTGATGTTAAATAACTAGAAGTAGTTGACAGAAAACCATCCTCGACCTACGTTTGATCCTAGTTGATACTCGTCATACTAAGAAATACTTCATATCTTGAGGGAACTGATGTTGTCTGATACTCTGTCTTATGAGCTATAATAACCAATGGAACAAGATAAATATACAGGAACAAAAGAAATGCAGTTAAGGTTAGACATAAATACCGGAATTTCCTCTCAAATTATATCGAGGACTGAACTCTATTCAGTTAATTATTTATTTACTAAATTCCAGACAAACAGGTATACATCAGGAGGTGCTTACATCCCAGTGATGATATTCTGATTAATACTTGAACCAATTACCTTCCTCTTCAAATACACAATATGTAATCGACAGAACTACTGAAACCACATAATCACAACCCTTAATATTTTGTGACATAATGGTTGTATCAAGACAATTCATACTGGATGAACATATCCCAGCAAAAACAGATCAGAATTCACTTCAAAATATTAATTAAAGGATAACTCTAACCCTAATAATAATGATGGTATACATTTGACAATAGAAAGGTTTATTTGTTTATAATCAGAGGGGAGATTTTGTGGATATTATAGCAATTTTAATAGTTGAATTCGTGAGTCAATTGAAGCTAGACCATCATGGAAAACCTGAAAGCACTAGACGGCCGTTCCGTCTTAGTTAGGGACTCCTCTGTGGCAGTGTGCATCCACGATCCCGCTTCGCGAGAGCTATCGGTCTCGTGTGTGAATGCTTAACCTCTAGACCACTGAGCCGGTATCCAGTTAAAGTTAGACATTAACACCGTTGGATGATGGCTCAGTGGTTTATTTGTTTGTTTATTTTTTATTTAGGTACGACACTTCACGACTGAATAATTATTTACTGATTATTTTTGTTAATCTGGACAAAAAGGAGATATATTCAGGTCAACTTTTTATTATCAATGACATTTATGATGAATGTAGATTTAAAAGACACATATTAAACCAAATTACTTTATAGCTTAACATTTATTTCAATTAACCGTCATAATAAACTAGTTATACTGTCCTCAGTTTAACAGATGTTTTAGATGTATAACTGATTAATAAATCATATTTAAATAGATGCAATCAGTATAATAAAACTAAACTGAATACAACAATTGTCTATTTTTATTACGTTAAAATAGAATGTAAGAATTTTGACAGAGTTTTGTTCTCCGAGTTGAATACTTTGATCGTAGAGCTTTCATCGTTCTTCTGAACGGTATCATCAGCATAAACTTCATGTAAAGCTTCATAACCAAACTATCCAGCTCCAGAGAACAAAACACTATCAAAGTCATTCACTTGAGCTATAAATCTTTTTCACCATCTCAGAATATAAGACTTTTATAGTAGAAAGTTAATTAGAGATGTTAATATGTAACCTGTATATTTGTTTAAGTTTAAATTTTAGCAACATTATTTCTTGGGATAAAATAAGTGTTTGTAAAGTTCTGGTGTATCTGTTCTTCAATGTCCAATAGTCGTGCAATGTCTAATATACTTGATTTCAAGCTGTAGTTTCCCCCCCCCACACACACACACACACTTATTTGTTTTTTTTATTCAATAAGTAAGGATGTGCTATAGTGTTCTGTGCATAAAAGATATAAGTAGACAGATTGAAATAAAATCTCTAATAAAAGTTACACTCTTCTATGTAGCTCTTACATACTAAAAGAATGTTAATATGTATGTTAATCCACTTTTAATGAAGACTAAGAAAATGATGATTATACTCATATGGCTTCTTACAATTATCTAATAACATTAAAAACCAGGAAGAAAGATTTTAAACAAGTCCCTCAAATTTTACTTTTCTATAGGTGTTTTTCATCATTAATCACTTCATTTTTATCCAGCTGTTAGTTAAAAGTGACCAAATTATACATTTAATAATGTAAGACTAAAAGTAACTTTAAAGAGTATATTTCTTGCTCTAAAATTGTTTCCACTGTATATAACACCATGTTTAATAACATAAACAAAGTTAGACAAATTACACATTCCTTATCGTGAAACCAGTAGGTCCTGGATTCGAATCCCGCGGGTTGCGGGATCGTGGATGCGCACTGTTGAGGAGTTCCATACTAGGACGAAACGGCCGTTCAGTGCTTTCAGGTTTTCCATGGTGGTCTAGCTTCAATTGACTCATGATTTCAACCTGAGAACTTTCAAATGATCATATCGATTTAAATATACTTGAAAAGAACAATAAAACAGGTATCTACGGGTTTTGTTGAATATATTCCAAAAGAAACCTATCACTTTGAGGAGAAAATGCTCTTCACATTTTGATAGTACGAGATTTAATTGAGAAGGAACAAAGTGATTGCAAAATAATCAACAAATAATCCAATTCCATATTATCAAACTTTTTGGAAGTCAAAGCAATTACAACATTTGAACTTGACCTTTCTATACAAAAGTATTTAATGGTTAACCTTCATAGGCCTTAATAACTAAAGCATTTTGGACTCACTACTCATTTTTATTATTATTCAGTTAATTAGAATGACAGTCTAGTGGGTTCTCTTCACACATCCCTTCCCTCTAAATTCCCTAGATTTTTCTTCATATTGATTAATGGAATCATCTTGAAATACTCTAGAAATGTCACTTTATGTATCTAGAAAGAAAACTTACTTTAAAAAATTTAATTTTTAATTATATATACATCCTAAGCTCATTAATTCTGATTTTTAAACAATCCATTTTGTTTAAATCACTACAGAAGATCCTAAGTTTGATTCTCGGCTCTGAGGTTGTGGATGCGCACTCTTGATGAGTCCTACACTAAGACAAAATGGTAATCTATTCCTATGTTTTCAGTAATGGTCTAACTAAGACCAGCTAGCGATTTAATTTATATAAATTAGACTAACTCAAATTCCTCTATGTTATTAATTTATTTGCCGCGAATTCCAAATTATAAGAGTGATAATTCAAAATCACTAAGTCTATTAGGTTACATATTGACATGAAGATAAACCAACGAAACATCTAGTGAATTTTAACAGTTGAATTCATGAGTCGATTTTGAGCCAGACCACTACTGAAAACCTGGAAGCACAGGATGGCTGTTTCGTCCTAGTATGGGACTCTCCATTAGTGCTCATTCATGATTCCGCACAGAGTGCTCGAACCCAGGATCTTCTGTCTCGCACGTGAACCCTTTGGTCGACTCAGAATTTAAGTGTTAGAAAACTAAAATCTTCACAAACCCTGATACTTAGTGAATTCATGATTTTCTAGAATAAATGTCATGTTTTTTCTTCATTTATGCTTTATTATCAATCACATTTCACAAATAAATCTATTGAATATATTTTGTATGGAAAAATTTAATACCCTAGCCTATAAATGCTTATGTTTATAAAATTATTAACTAATTTTAGCCATACTCATCAATATATATTTATGTTCCAGTGAACTGTTTAGTACATCAGTGTATTTATCGAAAAATATCGCTCATATCAAATCAATAATTCAGTTAACCCTAGACTTACCGTAACTTCCAACTGTAATGGAACCTCTTCATCACTTAATAATTTAACTTCAACCATAAAAAATCCAGCATTTCCATCCATATTTTCATGTGATAAAGTTCCCGTTGGTGATTTTGAACTTAAAGGCGATGTTGGATGAACTGACCAACTAATAGATGGAATGCGTTCAGAACTACGTTCTGATTGAATAGTCAATGATCTTGTCGGATATGTATCAATGGGATCCAAAAGAAGTTTTGATGTATCATTGCGAACTTCACTTTGAGATCTAAAATAATGAAGAAAAAAAAAGTAATAACTGTTCAATTAACTTTGTATATATAAAACAATCAATGTTTTCACTATGGTTTATTATGTGTTTTCATATCATAAACAATATACTCTTACTACGTTTTTAGCACGTATACACAAGTGATTTATTTGCATACATCCAGTGATAATATCTATGTACTAAATAAATAAAATCATGCAGTCTAATTAGATACAATGAATTTCTTCGGATAGATTAGAATGAATTTCTGTATTAAGTTATTATTCTAATGATTCTTTTCAGAAGACAAAGGATTCAGTACAATAAATGACAGTCTACTAACGTCAAATCAGTAACTCAATGTGGGGGTACTAGCAAATGAACATGAAAAAAAATACATTTTTTTATTTGAGGAGAATTTATTTTCTGAGCATTGAATGAAGATAGAAACTAAATTCACCACGTAAATAGTCGGTTAACTTGATCCTATTAAAAGGTAATGCATACACATAGAGAACAGAAATAGTCTTATATAAAAACAATTATTAGTGTTTTATAAAAATGGATGGATTATGGCTAGTGGCTAAATTCAAGAATCATATTTCATTTTATTCTGAACCCATCATCAGAATGTACTTGGATTCAAGTGTTAATGTTTACATTGGGAATTGAACCGTTTCACATGTCCAATGTGCTATTCATTGATAAACCTTAACTAACAATCATGGTTTTGGATGAAGGATAATTAACTTGAGAATAACGTTGTAATTTCAAAGGTCAGTAAATTTATATTAACATGCTACAAACTATATAATACGATTATAAGAAGTTATATTACTACGTGACTACTCTAATTATAATACATTTATTTAATCAACAAACAATAATCATCCATACAACTGAGTTAATGAACTTGATCATTCCTTGTTATATTATTACAATATAAAGATTCCGTAGTACTGTGTATAAAAAAACAGACGAATACATTTCAAATGCTTTAAAATGAAACTATATCCTACTCAAAATGTACTGCTCATTATCTAATCTGTAGTTAACTATCAATTTAAAGTAAATAGTTTACTCGAAGCAATCTATCGATATATATAATCAATAATTTTAGTTATCCTTTCAGGTCATCCAATGGGCAGGGCTATAATGAAAACGGGCACTGTATAATTTATACTATATGGTAAATGAGTAAAGATTGACTTAGTCTGATATATATAATAAATACCCAACAAAGTTCGTCTGAATTAGATTGTTTCATCACTACGGGTTGACGCCCAAAGCCAAGTTTTATAATAAATAACAATAGTATACTCACATTTATACATAAACATAGGGAAAGGATATAGTTGAAATTCAAAGGCAAATTTATTAACTTTGTATTTAAGTTAACAATATACCCAGTGAATTAAACTCTTGTTATTATGTGATGACACCCTGTTTCTTCTTTAAATGTTCCTCAATAAGTACAAAATATGTATTCAAATAGAGGAGTGTTCACAGACATGAATATCACTGCTTATATTAGAAAAATTATCAACCAAATGATCGATAAAAAGAAATGAAATAAACAAAAGTTATCATTATAAAAGAAGATGGATGGTGACTAGCAGTAGGATCCAGAATGCGCATTTCGTCTTTCTTGGGACTCGTTGTATGGATGTATTCACATCCCAGAGTTGATGTTTACTCCAAGACTGATCAATTGAAGACGTAAATATCAATGGGAAGACTCAAACAAACAATACAAAATGAATTTAAGTATTATCATATTTGTCTGTCAATCATACTTTCAAAGTTCCGACAATATTAATAATAGTTTTAACAGTTATAATTATCAAGAACTTCACATTAACTGATTAACAAACTTCTTCCTTCCACTGTCTTAATAATTTATACTTGTCATGTAATAATCCATTGATAAATATATGATAGGTAACGTGATATTCAGTCTGTGGAAACACAACATGATCTCACTAAAAAGGAAATACGGCGAGACTATAATTTATGGACGAACCAATCAGATATAAGATAACGAGCGCGAAATTCATTCATACATTTGGCTAAATAGAGTTTTGGCACTATAGCTGATGTCAGTTAGTGACGAAAACCCTAAATCTAATTTTTAACCTTAACCATCAACCGTAAATCATCATTCTAACTGGTTTATAACTCTCATTTCGTCCTAATTAGTAGGTATCCGTTCTCAAGGTCACTTTAGCGTCGCTCAAAGGTCGTCTATAAATTATAGTGTCACAGGAAATACTACTTTATAGTAATGTACGAGTGAGAAGGAAACCAGAAACTTTCACTGAAAACTAAAAATTATTATTAACTTTCACTCTTGGTCGTTTAATATGTTATTTGTTTTCTAAGTATATTATTTAGTGCCTTACTCCAAATAACTACTTCCATGTTATTCTACAGATAATATGTCATGGTATTTAAATCTTATAAATTTTCTCAATAATATACACATATATGTAACTAACTAACAACTGAGCAGTGACCATTGTCATGTTTGTATAATCCTCTAAGTGCTAATCGAATTCTGTGTATCAAAATTAAAGTGAGGCTGCGATTCTAAGTGATTCGACATCGCATGTACAATATGTTAATGTTAAATGATTGGTACTAATTAAGCTGTAAAATGTAGTCAACACTTAAAGGGTTTGACATATATGACATTAGTCACTACTCAGTGATCAATCAATCTTAAGTACCTTGGTCTTTTAAGAGATCAGACACAGCCCGAATAGCTCAATGGCAAGGTTTCAGACTGTGAGACTAGATGAAGCAGGCTAGAATCATACAAGAAACATCAGTCCCTTCAAGTTTTCACTCATGCTTTGTTGATAAGTGATGACCTACATCAAGCAAGGTTTCCTAGTGACAACCTCCAACCATCTAACATATGTATATACTGTTCATTGAATGGTTCGACTAAAGTTTATCGTAATTATCTCCTTAAGAAAGCTTTGCATTTATTAGCCCGTAACCTTAAAAACCTCCTGTAGAATGGTTTCTGTTATCGAATTTCTCATGTATTTCTGATTGGCTTCATTTTGTATGTAATTTATACAGTCAAAATACTTTGTACTTTTTATCACTGCATAATATCATAGTTTTTTCTTATTACACCTATTAGCGAAATTATTCTACAAAATTATGACGTGGAGATGTATCGAGTTTTTAAAAGGAATGAGATTACCCACTAAGAATTAGTATTTCTATGTAATTAACTTCTACAAAATTATGTTAATTTAAATAAATTGGGAATCTGTAAAATACTGAGCAAACTATATCAGCCTCTGATATAATAGTGAGGGTTCGATAGTGAGAAAATCTCTTTTCAATAAATTTGTTTTCTAGTTGTACAATCATATATATCAGATGGGTTTTGTGGAAATTGTAGTAATTTCAAAAGTTAAGATCATGATTTAGTTGAAGCTAGACCACCATGGGAAAACTGGAAGCACTAGACGACCGTTTCGTCCTATTGTAGGACTTCTCAGCAGTGCGCATCCTCGACCTCGCTCCCTGCGAGATTCGAATCCAGGACCTACTGGTTTCGCGCGCGAGCACTTAACCACTAGACAAGTGAGACGGCATCCAACGGTGTTAATGTCTAACTTCAACTAATCCACGAAATTGAGCGACACATTCACGATTGTCTTCAGTGAGTTACTATCTCGCAACAGACCAGGTTGAACTCCACCGGTCACTACTTCTCACTAGAACTCCAGGATATACCTCGTGAAGCCAGTCACTAGTGAGCACATTTTGATTAATATCAGTTGGGTTTTGTGGAGATTGTAGTAATATATAAATGAAAACTTTATTAAAGTATTAGTTTCACAAGGACATTTGAACAAGGAATAAATACGATGATGTAATAGAAACGTTATAACACTAGATTACGTAATATATATATATATATATATATAGGTAAAGTGAAATGAAATAATATCAGAGACAAATATAAATAAAATCATGAGGACATGATACAATTAAAGAGAGAGACAGGATATTTGCAAATATAGAATATAATAATAACAATAATATTAATAATAATACAGCTTAAAACTAAGTGAAGAATAACGATAAGTCGTACTTCTTTTGTACGCACAGTACTAGCTTCAAGTCATAGACTGCAAAAGCTTCTGTTATTTTAAGGAATTTGGTGAAAAGAAATCTAGTCAGATTTAGACGAATTGTATAAACAACCTTAAAATTAATCCCTGTATCAGTGGATTGATTAGAGTCGATTGGATGTTCAAAAATGGAACTTCTAACTGTCTTGCTCTCACCTTCATAGAACTATATTGGGACATACTCTTGTATCCGAGTCCAAAGAAAGTACTAGCTACGGTTTATGTATCTTGCTTCACAGGAGCAGGTGAACTGGTAGATGCACATTGAGGCGATCAGACGAGGAAGCTTATCCTTTATGGATACAGAAAACAAGTTCCTACTAGTGAACCTTGGTCGCAGCTTTGCTGCATAGAAGATTCTTTTTATCGCTGCCCTTAACCAATTTTTAATTATGTAAGAAGTTTGATCACCTTTAAATTCCAGATTTATATAAAGATATTTCTTTGAAACGAAATCACCGGATTCCTTGTCCCGACCTCTTTCCATGTTTGTCTCTATGAGACGGCTTGGATAGCCATTTTCAGCCAAAGTTCTCCTAAGGAATGAGAGTTCCTCGTCAATGCATTCAGTACTACATCCCGCTCACGGGATTCCGACCCAGGGACTGCGATCTCGCGTGCGAACGCTCAACCTATTAGACCACTGAGCCGGCATCCAATGGTGTTAGTCTCTAACATCAACCAATCCATGAAATTGCGCGACCATCTTCCATTGTACTGAGGTAGATACCTGTCTCTACCCGACATGGATTATCTCCACTGGTCACTGCTTCTCACTAGAACTCCGAGAATTCCCTCACGAAGCTAGTCAATAGTAAGCACATGCTAATTATCAGTATATGGGTTGTGGAGATTATT